CGAGGCCGACTTCCAGGCCTGCCCGCCCGCGGCGCCCACGCGGCCCGGCAACCCGGGCCCGCGGCAACAGCTCCTCCAACCACCTGTACGGGGTGGGGGTGGCCGAGGCCGGGGCGCCCCCCGCCGACCCCTCCACCCTCTATCGAGACCTGCCCGCCGAAGACCCGCGGGGGCGCCCGGGCGGGGACGCGCCCACCGAGGACGACTACTGGGGCGGCTACGGGGGCGAGGACCAGCGCGGGGAGCAGACGTGCCCGGGCGCAGCCTGCCAGGTGGCCCCGGACTCCCGCGGCCCCGCGCTCTCGGCCGGGCTCCCCACCCCTCTGCTTTGCGTCCTGCTCCTGGCGCCCCACCACCTCTGACTGCGGTGCTGGGACTGCAGAGGCCGGGCTGGCCCCCAGCCCCCAGCCCCCAGCTGCAGCTCGGGCCCAATCCCCGCCCCTGGCCTTGCTGCCTCCCTCTCCCCTCCCTGCTCCGCCCTCCCCTGGGACCAGGCCGCCTCTCCCCGCCTCCTGGGATGCTGGCTTAAGACTATCCCAAGGGGCTGTGTCTGGTGGCTCAGCCCCATTCTCCCCATCTCTGGCCATGAACTCGGTCCCATCCCACGGTGGGGTGGGGCATCCCAGGCCGGCGCTGGCCCTTCTCGCAATGCCCACCGCGGACTCGAGAGGAACTTTGTCTGCAAAGCATCTTCCACCAGCAGAGCCTTCAGAAGCTCCGGAAGGGAGCCCACCCAGGAGCCCTGCGGAGGGATGCCCACGGGGCCAGGCTGACCCTGGGCCCCTGCTTCTCTAGCCCCTCTCAGTCTCCCGACACGGGAGGAGTACTTTTCTCCTACGTCTACCCGGGACACTTTTTAGGGTGCCTGGAGAGATCTTTCCTCTCCACCGTGGCCCCTGTGTGGTGAAGATCAACAGAAGTTGTTTGGGGGGGAAATTTATTAAAAATTCTATTATTTTATCTCCTCTGTAAGGTTTGTTGGCTCGGGACCTCAAAAGTGGGAGGAGGGCAAGGAACCACCAGGATTTCAGGGCCAGGAGGATTAGAGAAAGGGGGGGGCCGATTGTGCCCTTGAAGAGTTTCTTGCTCCCCCTGGGAGAAGAGGCTGTGCCTGAGGAGGAGGGGTGTGGCCTGGAGTCCCAGGCAGGCCAAGATGGGGCTGACAGCACCTCGACTCCTCTTTGTCCAGGAGAAATGGCTCCAGCCAACCCTGACTGGTGTGGTGCCCAGGGAGCTAAGCCTGGGCAAGGCCTCCAGCCTGGCTGGCTCCCTCCCAGTTCCCACCTCCTTGCAAGGAGGAATCACAGCCATCCATGGTCACAGCCAGCCTAAACACGACTTCGAGCAAATCCGAAAAAGACACCTCTTCTGCAGGGGAATCCAGCCCCACACCAGACCAAACACTCAGCAAGCAGAGCCTCGGGCTGGATTTCAGCTCCCACGTGCCCTGCGCTGAGTGCCCATGCGCAGTGCACAGCCTGCACACCGGTACACAGCCCTGCAGCCAGCCCGTCCCTGGCTCCTGCGATGGACCACGTCAGAGGACCAGTTCTCCAGGTCAGAGGAGAAACCAAGGGGCTGGGTGACCAGAGAGACAAGAATCCTGTGTTGGGGTGCCTTGCTGGCTTGAAGCATGCTCAGAAGCTGCATCTGCCCATGTGGGGAGGAGAGGCTGGAGTAAGGGAAGAGCCTGGACTAAGAAGGACCTACGATGGAGTTAGGCATGTTAGGGGTGAGGCTC